AGAAGGGGCAGAAAGATTGTAAGAGGCAGAGCTTATACTGAGTTCAATATTGTGTAACTGTATTCATTGAACAGCAAACCTAAAAATTTTATAGCCACTTTTGAAAGAGATGTATCTTTGCTCTGGAAACTGTTATTGAGTATGTTAAAGCTGTAATGAAATGCTTCTTCTAAAATATTTTTTTAATTAAAAAAAACAAACTTTAACCTCTTATTTCAGGTTCATTTTAAAATATGCTGGTTTTAAGATGTAACCCACGTAATAGCCAAGTTTATTAGCACTGTGTTATCTAACATCTGTGGTTCGTACATAGACAGTGAAGGGTTTTACAAAATTTATTTTAAAACCTTTTGTGTTTATCTACCATGCATGTGCACGCACACGTGCATGCCACAATGTTTGTGTGGAGATCACAGGGCAACTTTCAAGAGTCAGATCTCTCCTTTCAACATGTGGGTACCAGAGAGAGACCTCAGGTCATCAGACTTGGTGGCAAGCACCTTTATCCACTAAGCCATCTCTCTGGTCCCACAATATTTATTTTTGATGAATCAGGAGTATAGTTATCAGGTTTTGTACAGATTAAGTATAAGCAACTGAAGTTTTTATGAAAAATAAAGTATGCTGATTATGGATTGGTATTCCAAGGCATATGACCATCCCAAACATAACATAATCACTTGAAACAGAAAGAAAATGAACACCCAGTTAATTTTTCTCATGTGACAGCTTACTTAGAACTTTTGAGATATTACTGGGTGTTGTAAAACTGGAATTAAAAGAGAAAAATGAATCAGGATCACAGTGGGACAGGAGGTGACAAACCATGCATTTACAGATGATCATTGCTTAGTTTTAAGAAGCCTCTCCAAATATCCTTATTACAATCATGAGTAGAACGGGCAAGTAATCATGCTCACCTAAAAGGCAAAGAAGTTCAGGAATAAAGAGAAATCTATCCTGCTCCATCAACCCCATTTCCCCTGACCAATAAAGAACAGCAATAGAAGCCAAAGCCTCTTGGAGAGAGTGGAATACTACAGTCAGAAAAAGGTAACGAAGTTAATAAATTTTGGCAGAAGGAAACCAGAACAGAAAATCAGTTTAGCGACTCAAGTAGAGATGGAGGTGCGATGAGAGGTCTACGAAGACGATGCACAGTGTAAACTGTTTCTGGAGTAAAGAACCATTTTCTCTATTCACTTACCCATAGGTGGGTAGTGTGCGAATGCCCTGAGCTCCCAGCCCCTACACGTATCTCTTTTAACACTTATTATTCTCTTGAAAGTTACCTTTCAAACTCCTAAGGGGAAAATTGTTAGATGGGGACCACTCTTACTAGTCACCGCATACAAACCAGTACTCGATTCTACTAGGTGCTCCGTAAACGGTTTTGATCAGAAGCTGAACATTTTCTTACATCATTTTCTGATTGGATCTAGTTTTCCAATCTCAACATCTACTAATTAGTGACCCCGGATACATAAATCATCTGCGTTCCCTGAGACCCAATCATCTATAAAATACGGAAGTCAAAATAACCACTTTTAATATTCTTCACAGTTCCATTTTCTAAGTCAGGGTTTATTGACGGACTCTGCAGTCTTTGAGGGAAGAACCGCAAACGTGGAGGGAACGCTTATTTGGACATCACACTAGAGTTGTTCGGTACGCCAAAAATTTGCAGCGTAAGAAGGGGAAACCTGGTGTTGAGGCCAAGGGTAGCTAGGCTCGGCTGCACCTGCCAGAGGCCAGGGGCGGGAGAGGAAAGTGGGCAGCCTTGTCCCCTGTGGAAGCTAATCGCAGGCGCCCCGCGGTTTGTCTAACCCCGAAACAGTCCTAAAGGGGAAGATGCTATAAAAATCAAACGCGTCTCACAGGCGACAGGTGTCCCGAAGTGTGAAGCGGGAAGTCCGTTCTGTCCCCGGCTCACTTGCTGCGGGCGGGTCGGGGAGGGACAGGAGAGGCCCGCTCGACCCCCGAGGCTGCACAGCCCCGCCCAGGCCTTCCTAGGGGCGGACACCAGCTCCCCGCCGCCCCTGAGGCCGGGCTGGTCTGGGCCACGACGTCACTTCCTATTTTTCTAACACCCCACAGAACGTTCAGTACAGGAGAGACGACTTCCAGAGCTTTCTTTTAGTCCTCCCTAGAATCCGTGGGCCACCGAGCTGAGAACTAGGAGTCACCTCAGCTCCGGGTCACCGGAGTAAGGCCCTGCCGCGGCCTCCGGCCACGCCCCCTCCCACAAGAGCGGCCCCGCCCACCTAAGAAAGGCCGCGCGCTGCCTGCGGCTCCTGCGCGTGCGCCAACGTCATCTTCCCGCGACGCGTTCCTCTACCTGTACGTTGCCGGTTCCTTGAGGTTCCGCGTGATTTTTGAGCTACTGAGTCAGAGCAGTCTGCGTTAGGGAACTGGCGCAGTCCAGAGAGTCGTCCCGAGGATCGGGGTGCCTCGGCGGACCCTAGGGACCCCACGGAGGTAGGCGAAGGAGGCTCCCACGAGGGCGGTCCCGGCTCTGCCCGTGCCTCGCTGCGGTGTCCGGCATGCTGCTCTGGGGCTTCCCGTGCTCCGGCGGACTGAAGGACCCTACCTCTTAGGATCATTGTTTTAATTTCCAGCTAGGCTTTCCTCCTTTGCAGTCGTTGTCTCTCATGTTCACCGCTGTCAGTTCCCAGAGTATTCCATACGTCTTCAGGGCCATGGATAGGATTCTTTCTAACTTAGGGGGTTTGCTCACTTGCTAGTAGCACCATATTCTTCTCTTATCTCAACCACGCTCTCCCTTTTATGATTATGTGGCGTATTGCTTCGAGGCCCAGCTGAAATAGCATACTCTGGAAGGTAGAATTAAGAGTCTTCCTCTTTCAAGTTCTCAGTATTCTAATTATAGTATTTATTTGGGAATCTTACTTGTATTGCAGTGGTGCCAGGTATTCAGTTAGCTCCCATTTCCTAGGTCCTGACACTCGCCAGGTCATTTTTGTCCCATTCATTTTCATATCGTCTCTTGAATTTTGCACCGTGTCTTCCCCCCACTCCTCACCAGTGCTGTTTCTCATTTTGCAATTTCGCAAACCACTGCTACTGCTCCTTATATTTTTCCTTTACAAGCTTTTATTTCTTGAAAGGTAGACTTAGACAGTACTCCTCTTGTATATAGTAAGGGCCAAGGGGACAAATCAGTCTTAGTGCCTGTTTTTGTGTATGTACGGAGCCAAGAATGCTTTTTTCAGATGAGCATTGCGCACTGACTTTGACTTGAATTAAGCGAAATATCCCTTGCCCTCAAACAACTCTGTTCTTCTCTTTCACAAACAACAACAAAATTGTGATTATTGGGGAAGATGCAGTGATGAAACGGGATCCCCCCCCCCCCGTTATATAAGTAATTACTGAATGACTTCTATTTTGCCTGTTGGTTGGCCAATCCTAAAATATTTACCATTGGCTCTTAACGAAAATGTTTGTGAACACTTGCTATGTAGCAATATTTACATTATAGACACCACTTAGGATTTTGATTTTGTATTTTCCCATAGGAACTTGCACAATGCTTCCTTTCCTCTTGTAATTTTTAAATGATCATTATTTGAGCACTTTTCAAAACAGATACTCCCAATACATTGTTTGATTTAACAGAGAAAAGTGATGGTACGATGTAGTCTGATTATGTACACTGACAGAAATAGAGCCAAATAGGATCTTAGGAGAGAGGACCCAGCCTCAGAGGGCAGAGGTTTCCTGAAGGACAGTCTGATGCCCGAGGTGAGCCTTAAATAAGGAGTAGCCAGAGAGAAAGGACTTTCCTGGCAGAGAACACACATGACAAAGACATTGAGGCAAGAATGAGCGTGATGTGTTGGGTGAACAATAAACAGCTGTAATAGCAAAGGGATTTTGCAGCAAAGGCTAGCTGATAGCTATTTGGAAGAAGGATGTGGGAATGTTGCTTTTTTTTTTTTTCAGTAGTCAGGAAGACCTGAATTAGGGCAGTGCAACTAGGGACAAAGTGGACTTGAAATTTAGAAATATTTGAGAGGGGTTGGGGAGATGACTTAGTGGGTAAAGTGCTTGCTGTGCAAGCATGAGGACCCAAGTTTGGATCCCTAGTACCCACATAAAAAGCTCCATGTGGCAGAGCATGCCTGTGATCCTATTGCTGGGAGGTAGAGACAGGAGGAGTCCCCCAGGCTCGCTAGCCAGGTTTAGTAGCCAGTCTAGTCAATCCGTGACCTCCAGGTTGAGTGAGAGACACTGTTTCAAAAAATTAAGGTGGTGAACAATAAAGGAAGATACCCAACATCAACCTTTGGCCCTATACACATGTTCACACACAGCACATACACACCACTGAGAATTACTTGACAGATGAAATCTTGTTAATTCTTTGAGTGTTAGGAATGAGGAGGAAGGACAAGTCAATGCTGAGTCTATATTCCTAATGGACCCAATCACTAATGACAGTGGAGAATCAAGAGTGTATGAAGGCGTAAACCATGCCTGTTTCTTACCATCATATTCCTAGTGCTTAGAACAGCCCCCTGTACAGTGTAGGTGCTTGATTGATTGAGGACGTCTCCCCTTATAATCTGGCTTTGATGCATTTCATCAAAATAGCAAAAAATGTTATAACTTTTAATGTTACTGATAGTAGGTTCTCAGGCTTTTCACAGTGGGTGGAGAGTAGCATTACTGAATTCATTCATCTGATAAAATTGCCTCTGTTCTAGTTTGTTCATTGCTGTGACAAAATACTCTGACCAATATCAACTTGGGGAGGAAAGGGTTTATTTGTCTTAGATCTCCTGGGTTACAGTTCATCATGGAGCCCAAGGTAGGAACTCAGGGCAGGAA